GGCCCCAGCCCCGCCGCCGCCATGTCGGTGCCCAGCGCCCTCATGAAGCAGCCGCCGATCCAGTCCACGGCGGGCGCCGTGCCCGTCCGCAACGAGAAGGGTGAGTGGGGGGGCCGCGGCCGGTCCCGTCGCGAGGCGGGGGAGCGCCGGCCCGGGCGCGGGGCCCCTGATGACGGCCCGGTCGCCCGCAGGCGAGCTCTCCATGGAGAAGGTGAAGGTGAAGCGGTATGTGTCGGGGAAGCGGCCCGACTATGCGCCCATGGAGTCCTCGGAGGAGGAGGATGAGGAGTTCCAGTTCATCAAGAAGGCGAAGGAGCAGGAGGTGGAGCCCGAGGAGCAGGAGGAGGAACTCGCCAACGACCCTCGGCTCCGGCGCCTCCAGAACCGCATCGCTGAAGATGTGGAGGAGCGGTGAGTGCTGGGCTTGGCGGGGAGCTGTGCTCCTGCCGTGCTTCCCTGTGCAGAGGGCTGGGGAGTCCAGACCCTGTGCAGCAGTGAGGGGCTGCAGGAAAACCGGGCAGAAGCTGGGAACGTTCCCCAGGCAGCGCAGGAGAGTTTCTGGTTCTTCTCGCGTCTGTGCTGCAGCGTGCCGTGGGCTCCAGCCCTGGTGTGAACAGCCCTTCCAACCCGGAGTCACTGTTTCCCAGGGCACTGCCCCATGTCTGTGTGTGGCTGAGGGGGTGCAGGTAAAAACGGGTTCAGAAATAAAAACTAGCACAACATGCTGATGCTTGGGGTAGTGGGAAGTTTACAGGGTCATGGAAAGTGTGCTCCAGGCAGGGAGTAACCAAGTGCCATTTGCTTCCTCCCGTGGAGCTGCTACAGTTTTCAGTCCCAGTAACGGGGAGGTTTGCGCTGGGAGCTCTGTTCCTACTCGGAGCATGGGCAGGGAGGAGCTGCCGGTGCCCAGCCCTTCCAGCCTCCTGGAAGGAACATGGGGGGTTTGCCCGCACTCAGCAGTTCCAGCAACTACCACTCTCTCGTTAAGAACGATTCATGAATAGTAACTTCCTGCAGCTTGTTTACATCTGAAGTGCTGTCGTTCAACTGTGGTCTGTCTCAGGCTGGCAAGACACCGTAAAATCGTGGAGCCTGAAGTGGTTGGAGAAAGTGACTCTGAGGTGGAGGGGGAAGCTTGGCGCCTGGAGCGGGAGGACACCAGCGAGGAGGAGGAGGAGGAGATCGATGATGAGGTACGCTTGCAGAGCTGAATAATGGGCCCGGGGAAGCTCCTGATGGCACAGGCTGGAACTGCCTTTTGCACAGGCATGGGGGTTGTCTGGTGGAGCTGGACAAGTGTCACAGCTGGCCATGACTTAACTGGAGGGTCACTGTCCTCTTGCGTGGGATGGGATGCTGGGAGAGGCCACCATGCTTCCGGAGGGACAGGTTTATTGACTTAGAGCCAGCACTCCAGACACTGCACATTTTTAACAGGATAGTGAGAGGGGAGCAGTAGCGGGGCTGTTCATCTGACTCCGCTCTGTTTGTCTCCGTTAGGAGATTGAGCGTCGGCGTGGGATGATGCGCCAACGAGCACAGGAGAGGAAAACTGAGGAGATGGAAGTGATGGAGTTGGAAGATGAGGGTCGATCCGGAGAAGAGTCTGAGTCAGAGTCTGAGTATGAGGAGTACACGGACAGCGAGGATGAAATGGAGCCACGTCTCAAACCTGTGTTCATCCGCAAGTGAGTGAAATGGCTGTGTGTTCACCCCAGGGTGAGCACACGGGAGCTGGGGGCCGAGCAGACACCACTGCTGTGTCTCCCTCACTGTGGGGCTGAAGGCTGTTGTGGTCCCTGCCTGCAGGAAGGACCGAATCACAGTTCAGGAGCGAGAAGCAGAAGCACTGAAGCAGAAGGAGCTGGAGCAGGAGGCAAAACGGCTGGCGGAGGAGAGACGCAAGTACACACTGAAGGTGCTGAGGGTGGGCTTGGGGTGGCGTGGGGGCAGTCACTGCAGCAGGCTTAGCTTGGTCCTCACTGCAGATCGTAGAAGAGGAAGCAAAGAAAGAGCTGGAGGAGAACAAGCGCTCGCTGGCAGCGCTGGATGCTCTCGATACAGATGATGAGAACGATGAGGAGGAGTATGAGGCCTGGAAAGTACGCGAGCTGAAGCGTATCAAACGGGACCGTGAAGAACGAGAAGCGTAAGTATCATCTGCGTAAAGCCAAGGCTGGGAATGCACAGGCCCAGGCCCCGTGGGCAGCTGGAGTCTCTTCCTCGGGCTTCCCTTTGGCAGCATGGTCTGAGCCAGACCATGTGCCTCAGCCCTTCCTGCCTGCCCGTGGGGAGTCTGTGCTCCCCATCAGCAAATGCGTAATCCCATGGCTCGCAAGAGTGGCTCTGGTGGGAGGGTGCTGCAGGGACAGGGGCTCTCAGGGGTTTGTCCTGCCCAGCATGGAGAAGGAGAAGGCGGAGATTGAGCGCATGCGGAACCTGACAGAGGAGGAGCGCCGTGCTGAGCTTCGGGCCAATGGCAAGGTCATCACCAACAAGGCAGTGAAGGGCAAATACAAGTTCCTGCAGAAGTACTACCACCGTGGAGCCTTCTTCATGGTGAGTGGTTAGCAAGGGCCCAGCCACACCAGCGGCAGGGCTGGGTCTGTACGCAGGCGGAGCTGCACGGGACCCCGGGGACGACATCTCCTTGTGGGGAGCCCCCACTGCAGCGCCCTGGGAAGCAGCCCTGGGAGGCTGAAGCAACTGAGGTGATCTGAGTGTGGCCAGCTCTTTGGGCAGAGGGGACAGAGCGGTGACACCAACGTGGGTGGGAGAGGGCAAGCGGCGAGGCCACAGCAGCCTGCGAGGTGCTGGCTTGTGAGACACACGTGGTTCCACCTGGAGCCAGCCTGCGCTGCTTCACTGGAGCAGGCTGAGGGTTCCCCGCTGAGATGGAGCCAACCCCACGCCACTGCTGGGGCTGATGGATCCTCTCGGAACCGAGCCGGCTGTGTGCAGGCTGCAGCTACGGGGAAGGGACCTGAGGGGACATGAGGGCGGCTGCCAGAGGCAGGCTGAGGCACAATGCCTGCGTTTCCCTCCCCCCCCAGTAGTAGGTCAATAGCGCTGCAGGCACCGTGGCAGCCGCCACGGGCTGCTGGTGGCTCTTCCCTACTTTCATGGGCTGCTGGCACTTGCCAGGAACTGGCAGGCTGAGCAGGCACATCCCTCTCCCGCAGGATGAGGATGAGGAGGTGTACAAGAGGGACTTCAGCGCCCCGACCCTTGAGGACCACTTCAACAAGACCATCCTGCCCAAAGTCATGCAGGTGGGTGCACTGGCCAGTGGGTGCTGGCCCAAGGGGTCAAGGGTGGGGGTAGCGGGTCCCCACGTCCTTGCTGGACAGCTGCTCACCAGCTGTTATGCTCCCCAGGTCAAGAACTTCGGGCGTTCAGGGCGGACGAAGTACACGCACTTGGTGGACCAGGACACCACCTCTTTTGACTCGGCCTGGGGCCAGGAGAGCGCCCAGAACACCAAGTTCTTTAAGCAGAAAGCAGCGGGCGTACGGGACGTCTTTGAGAGACCCTCGGCCAAGAAGCGGAAAACCACTTAAGTCCGTGGGCAGGAGAGTGCTTCTCTGCCAGCTGCTGGAAGCCACGGCAGGGACGAGGGACACAGGGCCATGCCAGGACTTGTGCAGTGACAAGCCCTTCCCCTGCCCCTGGGCCATGCCTGCCCCAGCGCTTCAGCAGCCTGGTGGGCTCCCTGCCCAGCGCTGGGCCCTGTGGGCGCTGTCCAGGCCCGTGGCTGTGCTGCCGTCACGATGGTCTCGGCAGCACCTGATGGGGCTGGGCAGGAGTACGGCAACACCTCCGGCTCCAGCACACCCACTTCTGGGGGAATTAGCGGACTTTTATAGCTGTCTGGCCCACAGCATCTCCCTATTGCTTGTACCTGCCCTGTCGACCATTTGGGCCCTTTTTTTTGGCGTGGAACAGCGGTGCCCCCATCTCCTCACCCTGTTCCTGCAGGGCTTGGCTTTTCTACCCGGGGGGGAGGGTCAGTTTGATTAAAAGTTTTCTTACATGTTCTGGCCCTGCTGTCCATGGAGCGTGGCCATCCCGATGGCAGGTGAGGGTGGTGTGTGGGTGTGAGGGTGACTGTCACCCTTGTGCCTGGGGCTGCAGCTCCCCAAGGATGGGAGACACAAGGTAGCACAGTCCCGGGGGTGACATTAATAATAGTCTTCATGTTTCCAGGCCCTGAGCCGGGGGTTCCAGGCTTCTCTCTGCCCCTCTTCCCCAGTGCAACCTCTTCCAGCTCCCAGGCCACCCCAGTGAGGTAGGAAGGGCCAGCGTGGCGCTGCCAGGCCTGGGGTGCACCCGCCAGCCCCTGAGCAGGGACAACGGAGTGATGGGAGCTGCTGCCCTGGCGGGGACGAGGTTAAAAGTGGGAAGAGTAGCTCAGGCAGGTCCCCTCGTCCTGCTCCGGTCATGGGTTCCCCAGTGCCACGTGTGTTCCCAGGGCAGGTGCCCAGTGCTGTGTGGACCACACTGACAGCCTGCTCCCACCAGTGCCTTTATTGGGTGAGATCAGAGGCCGCCCGGTGCTCAGTTGGTGAGGGTGATGAGTGCCTCCACCACGTTCCCCATGTGCTCACGCAGGCTGCGCTCCGCGGCCGCCCGGGAGATCTCCATCTCTGTCATCTGCAGGGAAATAGCCGCAGGAACCGTGTGGGGGCCGGGCTGGGGGGGGGGCGCCCAGCTGCCCACCCCAGGGGCTCTGGGATTGTCTGTGGGTGCAGCCTTGGTGACGAGATGGCAGCTGCACCCGAGGGTCG